TGTGATGTTAACAGCGACTTAGTGTAAATGTTACTAATACGAACCAACTAAGGTCATCAAGAATTTCCTTAGTCAACTTATTTTGTTTCATCTGGTCTCCTTTTTTAACGGTCACTGGCTTCATTTCGATGATCATGTTGTCAACGGATATGTAAACCACTATTGTATTATATCGGTTATATAGGTTCAACGAAATAATACAAATATATATGTATATGTATATATATAAATATAAATATATACTCGACTACGCGAGCACTTTTCGAACAACAAACACGTTTATTTGTTAACACAATGCAAAACGGTTTTAATATTTAAAAAAAAAAACGAAAATACGCACTTGTCTTTTTAAAAAATTAACAAAATGTGTCGTAACATTAATATCACACTGGTTTAATATTATAATATAATTTAAAATTATAATTAATAATTACATGACTAAATGCTTCAGCTAATACTGTGTCTCCAATCACTAAGTCCCCGCGTGTACGTTATGTTCATTGGTATCGGTACGTTTAAAACACAGGTTAGTCGACACGGCCATTTAAGATCGAATTTTCTCGACAGGAAGAAGACAGAGTCACTCACTCGGTCGTTTGTTATTGTTGTGCAGTCCTGGTTCGGAGTTTCAGACGGCTTGCTGCAGCTAGCTAGTTGCGACGCAATTTCTTGACGTCACGATCAGCATCAAGTAAAAAGAGAAAGCCAACAGCTGATTTACCGTATGGTTTTCATCCATGATTGTTCCCGTACATTGGTCACACTGATTATAGTAGGTACCCGGTTCCTCTAACCGCGAAATTTGAAAACTTGTCATGGTCGGCTCATTTAACCAGCCGCCTATAGATGAAAGTCTCAAATGCAGAAGAAAAATTCACCCAACTCCAAAAGCTCGATTTTAATTTTGAAAACATAATTTACATTCTTTATTCTTCTCTTTTTTGATTTTTTTTATATTGTATAGTTAGTATAGTACATAGTACAAACTACCAAATGAATATTCTTTTTTTTTTAAATTCACCTTTAATTTTGGGTTGCTAAAAAAAAATCAAAAATCCATTTCTTACATAACCTAAAAAAATCAATAAAGAATTCAAATATTTTTTCAAAATTATTATTGGACTTCTGGAAGTATATTTTTTTCTTCTGCTTATTGGTTTTAATGCACGAAAAATACGAAATAACAACCCACTTTCAACAGACACAGGATTGACACAGCCCAAAAATATATGTCATACAAATTGCCAAAGTGTTACTCTTTAAACATATGATACGCTTCAGCTTCAAATACTTTTAACCTCTCAACTATATAGGTATTTTATTAATTATTACTAAGTAACTATTAGCAGGGGTTCAAACTTGTTCTTAAATTTTACATTTTCAATTTAAAGGCACTCATAATTTTGTATGAGTTTTGTCAAAACTTACTAAAAAAATGTTGACATTCATGTATTTATGATTAGAAAATGCTAGAAACATTTATGAAAAATGTAAGTTCAGAGTATTATTTTTTGAATTAGTTTATTAACAATCAGAGCCACGTATAGGTACTCTCAATTGTATTTTTTATTAAACATAGGGTGAATTTTTAAAATGTCATCAGTCGCCACTGATACAAAACAATAAATAATTATAGAATAATTAATTAATAATTATTATTATTCGAAAACATAATTTCGTATAGGTACATTATTATTCACTAAATACAATGAAACTGAAAAAAAACATATAAATATACAATTACATACTGAGATATTATATTATTTAAGATAACTATCATATATGCAGGATGGGGCGAAACTACAGTGCAGTTTTGAAAGACTATTAAAAAAAAACTACGCAACTTACAGAAATTATATTTATTTAATATTTTTTAGTACATCATGCCGTTTTATGTATCAAGTTTTAAAAATGACATCAGAAAGATGATGGCCACCAGCAGCGATACATTGGTGAAGGCGATTTCTGAAGTTTTCAGCCGCATTTTGACACATTTCGACTGGTATAGGGCCGATTTCCTCCCAAATTCGCCGTTTGAATTCTTCCAAGGTGTGAGGCCGATGTTTAAAAACATTTTCCTTCAGGTAGCCCCACAATAACATATCACAAATTCCGGTGTATTATATGGGTCAATCTCAATCGCCTCCATTTGTCGGAAACGACTAACAATTCTGACAATTTATATGAACAAAAGAAATAAAATACTTCAACGATAGACGGACGAGTCGTTACAAGTTACAACAGTACATTAGTATCTACACACAGTGTGATCACGATAAGTGGAAACACTCAGTAGTCGATAACTCAGCATATATAATATATTATACTGTTTGTACCTACTCAATATATTTGAGTTCTGTTTTTTGCTACTTAATAAACATAATTATACACATTTTCAATTGATCAAACTATTTATGTGACGCTTAAATTTGCCAGAATAATAATAACACATACATACATGCATAACTATTGAAGAACACCGCCCCACCTTATTTAAAACTAGTAGTAGTTATCATTATCACAGAATATATGAAATATTTTTTAAAAATAGAAAATATAAATATAAAAAAAAATTTTTTTTCATACATTCTGTGTTACTTTATTATAACTCGATACCTAATCCTTAAGAATTGACAAGAAATAATAATTTTAATATAGTTAGTGACTGTTTCATGAAATATTGCATGAATATTTTTTTATTTTCATATTTAAATGTAGATTTATTTGTATATTTTTTTATATTATCTTAAATCTTATAACAATCATATAACACTAAACATAGTTTATCATTAGTCAATCATATAATATATTATTTTTTATGTAATTGTAATGTAATAGCATCATAATTTTCAAGATAATGTTAATGTAAAATGTCAATTACTTTAGTGTTATTGGAAATAATCCATGCTGCACTCTGTACAAAAAGTATATATGTTACATCTAAAGTGTTGGATTCCGTTATTTTATAACTAGGTAGGTAGTTCATGAATTACCTACGAATGTTAGTTAAAGTATGAAATAATACATGAAAATTGTACTTTAACTAGTTATTTCATAACATTTCTAGTTATTCAATACAATTTCAGTTTGATATCCGTTAAAGTATAAAATACATACAAATTTAAAATGTGTATTAAAATATTTTATTTTACTGAATTAATTATAGTTATATTATTTATTTATTTGTTTATGTAAGGCTATTATGGCATTTAGAGTTGCACAATACCTCTTTTTTTCTACAAACACATCGATTTGAGCCACATTTTTTAGTAAAAGTGCACTTAAAAAAACCCTAATCAGTTCGCCCAGTGACTGCGCAGTTGCCGCAGATCTTAATGTAATACTTTTATTTGGAACAGCTTCTACAGCTAACAAATTTTCTGAACATACTATATTACTATGAACTAGGATCGAGAGTAAAGTTGTAATAACACTCCTGTAATTATAATGTGTAGGTAGGTATCAAATATTTTTTCTTCAATAATGCAGTTATTCAAAATCTGATTTTTTAATTTTTAAATATACTTTAGGACTATATTTTCAAATTACTGAGATTTTTTGTACTAGGAACTTAAAGAGTGCCTTGTGAAAATACAAACATCTGTTTTCAAATGAAAACACCCCTATTCAACTATAAATTAAACAGCAATCATTTTTCTAAAATTGTTGACGTATCAAAATCAATATAAATTCGTACTAGTGGTTTTTGAGTTATTTAACTTTAAGTTCTAAGAATAAAAGGTCCATAGAAATGAATTTAGATATGAGGGCTATGGTGATTTAAAAATTGTAGTCATTAATATTAATCTATAGATATTAATCATTTGTAAAAATGACCCAAGTACCTATAAATACTAGATCCAATTTTAAATCTATTTTATATCTGTATAAAACCAGTTTTAAGGATTATATTATTATCCCGAACACAGACATTTTAGTAGCTAAGAAACTAATCATTTGATTTTGAATGTGCTAATCAAAATGTTCAAAAAAATTATCCACTCATTAATATACAGTCAAAAAGAGGTTCTCATAAAAAAACAGAATTTTGTATCACCACTGGACACTCCTTATCTAGTGCAAAAAATTCAAGAATTTGAAAATATGGTCTTTGAGTATGTTTAAAAATTCCAAAAGTCAGAATTTGAATAAATTCATTAAAGGAAAAAAAATCGGTTGAGCATGTTTAGTGAATCATCCTTGTATGGCTTATTATAGTATTATGTAGGTACACAAAGATTCTAATCAAATTTATCGACAAATTTTTTCAGGGGATTTTACTTCGGAGCTTTTTTTCTAATATCTAATATACAATGAGAAAATAGATTTGGATCGTTTTAAACTTTTATCTATATCCTAGATTTTTAACTACATCACAATCTTCTAAGACCGTGATCTACATCGTGCCACAAACGTTAAATCATAATATATACTATGGATGGACTCATATCCGGATAATTTGAACTTTGATGCGTATTATATTAGCGACAATTCTCTGTGTTAGACATAATATAAATTTGTTCATGCGAAAAGAAAATTGTCTCATATTTATCTATATGAATTGTCGAATTGATGTATAAATTTAAATCAATCAGCGACGAATGGCTAAATATGCGAGCATTAGCCTCGAGCATCTAATACAGACAATACAGTGCCAGTGAATCGTCGCTCACAGTGCGTTTACTGTTTAGTGCTTATGAAATGCATTAAATGTGTGAGCGCCAAATTGTTTACATGGGTGAGATGAGCTTCATCCGACCATCCATATTCCATTCACAGACCTTTTGGCTTTTAGTTTTTACTAATAATTTATTATACTGTAATAATAATCTATGATTCCATATCCCATTACCATTTACCTGGTAGTATAAAAAATGAAACAAAACAAATAAATTAATGATATAATTATATTAATTTGTACACATATTTTTTTATGCCATGAGTTTATAAGGTTTTCAAGCACACGTGCTTTTAAATGATAATAATAATGATAATGATACAAATCGTATACGATTAACGCAATACATAATTGTCTTTAACAGTTTAACTTCTTTTTATTTTTTTGCGATTTGCGCTACACAGTCACTACTCTTCTGTAGTTTTTTTTTGTCACTTACCTAGCCAATCCCTAAAACGAAACAATGCGTATTGACACTTGTTATTTTTGTTCATCCAAAATGTATCCAGGACATGGAATGCATTTCGTAAGAAATGATTGTAAGGTATGTCCAATACATAAAATATTTAATATCCATTTTGTATTCCCTTGGCACACATTAATTCGCAGCTTTGTTATGTTTTAGGTATTTAAATTTTGTCGCTCGAAATGTCACCGGGCATTCCAAAAGAAGAAGAACCCTAGGCGTGTACGATGGACCAAAGCATACCGCAAGGCTGTTGGCAAAGAATTGGCTGTCGATCCATCATTTGAGATTGAAAAAAGACGTAACATTCCCATGAAATATGACAGAGAGTTTTGGCAAATGTCAAGTAAGTAATCTATGTATAATATTCAATATAAATAATTATCAAACAATAAATTACATTAGATATATAAATAAATACATATAATATTAAACTGTGTTTAGCATATGATGAACATATCTTGTGAATAGTTAAATATAATGTTCTTTGTTTGAATAGTGGAAGCAATTAAGAAAGTCACTGAAATTCAAAAGAAACGCCAATCTACCTATGTAATGCAGCGATTACGTAAAGGACGTGAAGTTGAACAGCACAGGGATATCAGGGAAGTTCAAAGGGATATGTCACTTATTAGATCGCCTGCTGCAGGTAATAATTGAAGAACTATAATTTATATTCAATTTTAATCACAGGTTTTATCTTAATTGGCATGCATATATATTTATTCTGGGGAGTTAACTATTGTCTTACATCACTGTCATTGAAAAACTATCGATTGGATTACCAATGGCAATGATTAAACATCATAATTTAAATATACCTTATTTTATTTTTACAAAAATATATAATGTCAAATTTGATTTATAGCATACCTGTTAGCTTTATTAATTTGACAAGGTATCTACAAACAACATTTTAATCCTCAAATTCTTGTCCATGCTATCTTAGTTTGAGATTCTAATACAAATAATAAATTTTACTCGAATCATATAAAATTACTATGAAGGTCACATGTGACCTGCAGGTTGCCGACCACTGCATTACAGCTTAAGTTTTAGTTAGAAAATATTTGGAGAAGCTTCAAGAGGAGTTTCTGGGGGCTCAAGCCTCCCCTATTTAAGACTATGGCAAATGAGTTAGTTACTAAAATTTAGATATATATCTAAAAGTGCATAAATACTGGAAAACAGTATAAGTCAGAGAAAAATAGTTTTAAAAAATTATCCTATTCGTAATTATTTGTTGTAATATTGTTATTAAATTTCCGTGCATTTTCAACAATTTCAAAAAAAGTCCATAACTCAACAACCTTTACTGGCTTACCGCATGTATTAATATAAGTGGGATAAAAGATCTGTTAACTGTACAGTTTATTTAGTATTGATCACCAATTGAATATTTGAGATAACAAAATCTTTTCTAAACATCAAGAAACATAAAATGAGTAAAATTGTATTATAAACGATATAATTTAATATTTTATGATCTGTTATTGTGTCTGAATAAATATCCAATTATTAGAGTATTTACTATAAGAAAAATATTTGAATCAATGATGAACATTAATTTATTACATGTAGCTTATCATATTTTTCTTAATTTTTGGAAACTTAAAATTAACATAGCTGTGTTTATTATACATTTAGTTGAATATGTTGGAAGAACCATAATAATCTTTGTAATGTCAATATATGATTGAATAATAAAAATAATCTAAGCTTAAAAATTATTTGTTTCTTTTAGGACTTAAACAACGTTTGGCAACTGAAGAAAAACTACTAGAAGAAGAAGAAAATGATGTGGAGATGATTGCTACAGAAGACGAGAATAATATTGATCATAGTAAACTATCTTACATTAAAATATAAAATATTTGTAACTGTTCAATGGTATTGTAATATGGATCTTTATACAAATATAATATACATGAGTAATTATTTACATAAGTTATCTGCCCAACCTTATTTATTGCATCACGGTGAAACATAACAGATAAGGTACTATACAAATATCTTTCCACCCAGTGGATATAAAAAATACAATTTAACCTCATTAGTAAGTGCTCTATTGTTAGTGCTGTATTTATTGGTGTTAAAAATATTGTTTCAAAGAAACTAATACAATATGTTAAAAATGCGTTTTTCTACAGTTTTTTTGTTTTTGGCGATTGGTAAGTAATATTTGGCATAATTTAAATAAACTTATTGTGTGTATGTGTAAATCATCAAATAATTTTGTAACTACCACAATTTAATGTTATATTTTCAAGTAATTATATCATTTCTCAATGAAACGGAAGCGAGACGAAAGATTCTTAGGGGAAGAAAAACCATTACCAGGACATATTACAGTAAGTACTAAGTAATGCTAAATATTTACATTATCGAATAAATCTGAATGCAGCTGTACATATACAATTTTAATCTTATGATTATTAATAACTATTAATTCCTACATTTTTTTTTTACCATAACCTATAATTAAATGTATAAACACTATTTTAATATTATAATGTATGATACATTATTATTTGTTCAGACACTGAAATTGCATATGGATATTATTGTCTAGTAGCATTGAATTTATTTTTGCTATTTTTAAATCTATTTCAATATTCGTCACTTATTAGGTACAATTGAGTTTCATCAAACTAAATAAAATATAATTTTTTAAAGCGAACAATTTATATTTTAGGAAATAATATTGCAAAACTTTTTGTTATCAATTCAAAATATTTATATAGACACTTTTCGGAGCTTCATAGTTAGTTGCGCAAGTGCAATGTAAATTGATCAAAATATTTTAATTTGTAGCATTTAGCAAATGAAAAATTTACGTTACTTATATACAAATATGAGTATATAGCAAAGCAATATTGTATGTCTAATAACATCAAGAAGCAAAATCAGTACATTAAATATTTTTCTTTAAACCAATTAATGATCAAAAATTTAATACATTACGTGTCTAATTTTTTTTTTTAGAATCATTAGGAATACCTGCTTGGTTGTCAATCATATTCACTGGACTCTTCATTATAGGGATTTCAGGAATAATTTTTGGTGTATTACAAAAATTTATTATAGTTAACAATCAACCTCCACAACAAACGCCTTCCTCAGTACCACTCACAACGTCAACTTAGAGCTCTTAAAGTATAATGTTCTAACAATTTGTATAGTTTTAACAACTTTAATTAAGACAAAATCTATTATCCTTAGTTTTTCTAAAAGTTAAAATTAGACTATTTTGTATAGGAGGTACAAATGTACAATGCAATCTTAACAGGATATTATTATTATTTATATGCTAAAAGTTCTTTTTATTTAAAATATAATTCAAAATAAAATTGTTTTTTTTTTTTTAAATTGTTTTTTTTTATCTTAATCTGATAAAGTACAAAATTCACAACTTTTAATTAATAATACATGATTTATTATAAGTTATAACATTTTTTCACTGTATTATTATAATAATTACAAAACTAACTGAAATCTACATGTTCATTATTCATGGTTTAATTACTTCTTCGTACAAGTACTTGAATGAGTTTGCAAGTCCGGCAAAAGTACCAATGACTATGAAACCAACCAAAAGGCGATCGGTCATTCCACGTTTCAGGTAAACCGGTACACCATCAGGTTTTTGGAATAATGTTTGCCATTCCTTTAAATTTTTCAAACGAGCATCTTCACACAGAGGTTTGCTTCCATGGATACTTCTAGCCATTGGCTTAGTTGCTACCAATATTTTGCGGATCGACATTATGTCTGTCTAAAAATAAAAAATATATACATATGAAATAATTAAATATGATTCAACATCATTAACATAATGCTGGAAAATAAAAACTTAGAATAGGTAGTAACTATGAGTTATACCAAAATAAAAATCTATTATTATAGAAATTCATCTACTATAATTTAACAGTAAATATCTGTACTGGGTCAACAACAGATCCAATGAAAAAACATAGATATTACCTAAATTATAATGTATTTTAAAATAAAAACCAAGTAGGTAATATTAACACTTTGAAAATAATAGGTAATAGTATAATTTATAGGATGACAAAGGGAGCACATTTGTACCATCCAATTTTTAAAAGCTATGGAATTTGCCAATCTGAAAGCGGCCTCCCATAAGAAAAAAGATTAGGTACCCGTTATATACTATCTGTATTGTAAATGAATTTCATTAAATATGCAAACTACAAATTTTAATAATCTAATATTAATCTTTTATCTTACCTTAAAAGTATTTTCAGTAAACATTTAAGTTAATACTTCGTCAAACATTCAAATTTATTTTAAAAATATTTATCATTTTCACCCCAAACATATCAGTTAAATTTATTTACCGCCATCATTCCTCCCTGATCTGTCTTTGAAGTAGACTTGTTATCCCCTTTGCCTTAACTCTATATCTTAGTTTAACTTCCACAACGACTATTTTATACTATTTTATATTAAATTTACAAGCATACACCAATGACGAAAATTGTTTATTTATAAATTGTTCTTAACTTTAAAACATATAGGTAAAATATACTTGACAATCAAAATATAATAATTACATAAGTCACACTTATTGATTATCTTCTTCAATGTTAAATACGCGTGTAGCCTGTAAACACCATACTTTACCGTAAAAATGTTGTGTAGGTAGCATACGAAACGAGTACCAGAGATTTAATGAAAATACATTTAATATTTTTATTAGGTTCCTGAATTAAAAAAAATATATCCTATACCTACTTAATATTAAGTACAGTTGTAGTAAGTATTACAATTTTACATTATGGTATCTATATCAGTGAGTAAGCAATCTTAAATAACTAGCCTTTAGTACCTACCATGCCAGTTTGATGTAAAAAATATGGCAAAGCCAGGAAGAATAGATGATGCCGATTGAAGGTGCTATGCCCCAAGGGTTAACATTATATAGAATCTTATCATGCTTGGATAATCCAATAGTTATAGACAGTGTTTTTAAGTCATTGTAGGTGCGTTTTATAATTTATAAGACTCAATGTAGGTTACTCATTAATTAATTGTTTAAGCACTAAGAATATGTTATGAATAAATTTAGTTGCTAAATGCAAATAAACCTATTTAAAAAATTAATTTCTAATTTTTTTTAAGCACTAAAACAAACAAGTTTGAGAGGGTAAAAACTCACACTGATTGTCAAATAGGTACCCCATAATTCTATAATACGAAAAAATTGAATTAAAAGTACTTATAATTATAAAATTATGTAGAAAAAAACGATTCATTTTTTGCATGACATTTCAGTAAGTACCGGAGTAGGTTATAATGGTTCAATAATTTTATATGATCACAAAACAAATCATCAATAAAATATTTGAATAGTATAATATAGTGATTCATTAATTAAATTTAGTATAAACATGTACTTACTTTTAATGGATGATTTTCCGACCTCGAATTCGACTTTTTTACTTCACGTTAAAGGTAGATCCGCCGAACTGAACGGAGTAAAGAAAATTGAAAATTGTCTGTAACCTTGATAAAAAAATTGACCAGAGATAAAATGTCAATAAAAACATACGAAGCATGGAGGAAGACGAATAAAAATTATTACCGCGAAATTTGAATAACAGACGTACCGCCACGGACAAGTACAATTTAAAATTCGTACTGACTACTGACATTTGATGGGATTGTTTCTTGCAAATCCTTATAAATGCTAGAGTAGAACTATAGCTATAGCCTTTAATATTTCGATTTCACAACAAAGACCTATAGTTAATACTTAATTATAGGTCCATGGTACAACATATTAAACTCTAAAAGTAGGATGTGGCCAAGTGGGTACCGGTCTGCTGTACATTGGGTGTCTAGAAATCTGAAAGGATCACTGCAATGGATGTGTTCAAATGTTATTAAATGATATAAGACCATTGCACCCGAAAAAAAGATTCCGAGCGAAGACGGTCTGTGAAGCCAGTGTCAGCCTATAATATTGATTAGTATGTTTTATGATATAGTGATTAAAGTAATTTATCGAAAAATTATTAGGTACTGTAAGAGTTCAATATACCCTTAAAAAATATTTTCAAATTACAACGAAATAACCAAAATTGTTATTCTAACTTGGCGTTAGTATGTAATTTAGTCCAAATGAACTTCAAATGTCTGTATAAAATAACAGTGCTTAAATATTTTTCAGATTTTTTGGTTACTATAGTATGAACTGTTAATGAGAATCATGTTTCAAGTTTTCAATCCTTGGCTATAAAAAATGAACATTTTATAATTTTTTCACAACAAATCAATTTAATTAAAGATTTGATTAAATTTGAATTTAAATTTAAAATACTTATAAACAAAATGTGTACTTATAGATCTTTAATATTTTTCAACTGCTATTATGACTATACTTATGAGGAATCTTTTACGAGTTTAACTTTTATCTTTAACGTATTAAATTGTCAAGCTTTTTGACACACCGAATACAACGTTATTGACATTTATAGAATAAAAAACTTAAACAATTGAAAATTAAAAATGTTTATATATAACTTCAAAAGAGTGTAAATGTTTTAAAATTATGTATTTATAATTTATATTATGTACAGAAAATGATAATATTAAAATTTTATGAAAATTTCAAATATCTACATCATAATTATGACATAGGTATACGTGAATTAGACTTTTTGGGCATAAATAGAAATAGAAAATTTTTTATGAATTTCTAACATGAAATAATTTCCCAATTTTTGTGATTTTGATGAATTTTGTTAAAATTTTGACTTCAGACGCTCATAAAAAATTATTACGGACTTACGATCAACTTTTTTTTTAATTTCCACAAACAGCTTATGAGGAACGTTGTATTAGTTTTTTGGCTGAGTACTAGATGGATAATAACCACCATCATAATATTTATAATATATATCCACATTGGCCGAGTCCGTGGTTGAATTATATTTATTTTTATCACCATAATATGTTATCACATCGTGGCATCGTGCTTCTCACCAAAACATCAACAATAATAATTGTGTTTACTTTTTACCACGACTAAGATCTATAGCAGAGCATTTTACACTTCTCTACTTCAGAGGTTCAGCATTTCACCGTTCTTGGCCGTTCAATATTTCTATTAAACGAGAAGCTACTTTTTTTATTTTTTAAGATTTGATTCGTGATTTTTGGTCTATTTTCTAAGGTCGGAGATTAAGTGATACCCCGAGATTTCTAAAATAGTAAGTTCAAGTAAATCAGTTATCCAAAATTCATGTTATTATTTTATTATAATTTGTTATTTATTTATTTCGGCCAATAAATTTCATAGTTTTTATTTAATTTAAAACATTGTTGACTTGTGCAATTGTCTAAACTTTTATTTAATTTTTTTATTACTAAAGGTATAATCATGACTTTTGATTCATCTTGGGATGTCGATAAATACAGATCTGAACATGAATATGAAGATCATTGGCAGTTTAGGCGCCAGTTTTTAGTTGCTCATCAAGACAAATTCCCGGAAGATCGATTAGTGTGTTTAGCTCAAGTGTTTTTTAATGTTGAGTTTTTAGGATGCCAGTGAGTTCAAATTTTGATCTATCTTCGCAATTTTATATGCTAATATTTTTTTATCAAATTGTAAATTATAGTGTGTTGCATTGTTCTATAAAATTTTAATTTTTCAAGGTACCCTAAGAAAGTCATGGACCTTATTGAAACACTATCTGAAGGTTTAGCTGATGACTTAAGAGAAAAACGTAAAGGAAAATTACAAAGAACCTTTGTTGCAGCCTCAGATGCTGCTGAAGCTAAAGCTAAACGCTGTAAGTAGATAATCATATAATGTATATTAAAATTCTAAATACATTTAAACAATTGTTTAGGTATCTTTAAAGATATAACTGTTTTTCTAAATTTTAAAATTATCTTTATTTACATGTATACTTAATGTATTTCAGGAAACTATGACAACACTACATGTCAAATAAATATCAACCGACTACCAGATATTTACTTATATGTTTATAATTATCGTACTATTAAGAATGATAAAACAAATTGAATTAAAATTGAAAAATTATTTATTAATTTAAATAATTCACTAGAGGTTTGGTTGTTGCATATTCCAAAAATGTGTTACATCTCATTGTGTGCATTATAATCAATTCATTATGTACAATTTTTTTTTCTAATGAATTGAATACTTGTAACAATAAGAATATAATATAATTAAAATTTATATTTCAAACATTGTTTGTTTTGAATAAAAATCTGGTTTTTAAAACAAAATATCTGTTCATCTGTAAGATACTTTAATTGTTGAAATAATTTTTTTATAAAGGCTATCTAAAAAAAATCATAATATTTAGGTTATATTGTTCTTGACTAGTGTCATTATGCTTTGGCATATATATGGTTGTAGGTGCATTGGATTCTTGTTCTACATAATATATAATATAGTAAAGAAATGAGTAAGACATCAGCTAAATTTGATACTATATTAATAAAATATCATATTATATTCTGTTGTCTTGTAGTTAATACTATCTGTATGCATAAATCCACTATGTACAACATTGTCTCTGTCTTACTGATGTATAGTATGCCGCCTGTCTAATTTTAAGTTCAGATTTATCTATTTTATACTATTGTGTACTTGTAACATTTTTAAATAACTATATATATTATATAACTTGCTTCAAAATCAAAATATCAAAAGTATACAAAAGTCTTAAATAATATTCTTACCTTTAAATTTGATAGTAGGTCAATTCGCTATAATCTTTAAAATAACAGTACAATTTGCCATAGTATACATTACTGAAGCGGAGATATCAAATGCATGTACAATGTCTTCTTAAATAAATATCTATAGATTTTCTAATACACAACTTGAAACTGTAAGAAAAGACTATGTTTCTTACCTAACAAAAATAATAAATATTTAAAAACATAAAAAAAGTAGGTACCTATTTTACTATTTTAAATTAAGATCAGTGTAGATAATATAGGTATATTAATGTACAAAAATTGGTCAATTAAAAATTATAAGCTATTAACATGTAATAGAATTTACATTGATTAAAAGGGCAACTATATGAATAACAATTCTTACCATAACATCTCAATATGGCTTCATGGACCTTAGACTTAGAATAAAATATATAATATAAGTAATTTGTCCACCATATTAATGTTTATATGTGACTACTACCTTGGCTTACAACATTCGGTGCTATTTATCTATGTAACACATCATTGGCTTACAAAATTCAAATAAAATCAAAATGCTAAAATGATATAGTAAAAATTGAAATCTGGGTTGCGAGTAACTTGACTTGGTTAAAACAAAAAAAAAATATGTGAAACTTGATGTACTTTGCTGAAATTGCATACTGATTGAATATAAATTTCTACCAAACTGAGGGTTACAACAATTGGTCTTTTACCCATCGATATAAGTAAAGAGATAAAAAAAAACATTTCATTATTACAACAGACAAGATTAAAATTTGTATATTATGTAATATTCTCTATTTAATTTATGGATATTTACAAAATATAAACTGATCATATAGTGTAGGTAAGTTAACCTACTGATATTGAGACAATGATAAATTAAGAAATATGCTAGTACCTATAGGTAGGTAAGAAGCCATAATGTTCCATTGTTGTAATATTGTTCTATGGTTGTACCATTAAAAGTATTTAAACAATGGCATTACTTATTTAATATTTCATTGATTCATTTTGTTGTTCCCGAATATTAAATAATATTATGTACTTGTTTTTTTCTCCGACCATTCGGCCCAACCGCCTGTGTAGTTATATAATCTGTAATGTCAAAATTTAAAATTAGGTGGTTACCTATACGGCTATACTGTATAGGTACATAACTACATAAGCATTGTTTGTATTAGAATGGAACATATAGTATAACTGCCGTGGCCCCGGACCCGTGGATAAATGAAGAGCCCCCCATATTTTTAAAAATCTAATTGAATATGAAATTGTTTTTATTTTTTATCCTAATATTATACTAATAAAATAAAACAGAATACATTTCCAAAAATATAATTGTTTTAATAATCCAAGCAATTTATGGAGATTTTCTACATAATTTTAGGTTTCGTTGGTAACTAATACAGTACCTAGTAGGTACATACCTACTAAAATTATTAATTGCAATGAGGTTTTGTAAAATATTGTGATTATTAATTATTAGGTACTAGTTTTAAGCATTACTATGATTGTATTTATTATTATGATAGTATAGGTACTTTTTATATTGTTTCAAACTTCCAAATAGACGATGATCAATTGAATTAATATATCTGTTATAATAATTTTAAATATATTCTTTATGGTTTTATTTATTACACATTAAGACAAAATCAAAAATTAAAAAATTTTGAATCTAAATACATGTCTAACAAGAACACGGTAAAAAGTCCGGTATATATTGTAACCATATTTAAAATAATTAATTTAAAAAAAAATTGACTTTAATTAGGTACTTAGTATCATTACCATTATATATGAAGCATATATTATGTATATTATACATGATATATTATAATGGTTTCTCAGCTTAATTAAGTACTAACTATCTAGTTAACTATTTTCACTAAAAAAATCCAGGTATTTGTGTATGTATATCAATATTTAAAATAATGTACCTATTTAACCAATATATTTTGCAAATATCTTGCCGATAATGGTACCTACAAGATTATTTATTAATTTTGTCAGGTAAATCATTTAGTTACAATTTATATTAATTTTAGTTGGAGGTTTTAATGTACAACATATCATATTTTTCCTTTTACCTAATCATATGTACCAGACATTTTTACTCAGATTTTTTTCCTAGGGCTTTATGGCTCAGACTTTTTGGTTGTATACATATATTGATATATGGTTTAAATGCATACATATTTTACACATATATTTAACAAATATGGTGCATGAATTGTTTTAAAAGGTACACACTTTTTAACTTTTGAGGAAGGAAGCATGTCATCGGGTGCGTCCCTATAAAAATATTGTAATGTATAAAATTACTCTCATTGCCAACAAAATAATAATGATCAAAATTTTAATTTATTGGTTCACCTCTCCCCCCAGGTTAGGTTCCCCTATATCTAGGAACGCCCCTGCATGTAATGCAGTTTATGTAATTTTACTATGTTAACCATAATTCATATAAAGGTATTTACTTTTTATAGTCTAGTTTAAAAGCGATTTCAGCTGCACGACGACTTCTATTTCCCCGGGCACAGGAGAAAACAATTTCGTCGTTGTTTTTGTCGGGTTTGGGTACTTTGTATTTTTCCTCGAATACGTCAGCGGGCAAATTTAAATCGTTTTCCAACTCACCGACTGAAATAAATAATAATAATCAATATAGATTGTTGCTCAAACCCTGGGTCTTCCAGACCGCAAATGAAAATTTCCTGTTAGTTAGTATTTGGTAGGTAAAATATCATTCATTTAAAAAAGACAACTTATAGGTCACTTGGTACTCACTAGTCCCGCATAAAAGATCACACCTATCATAATCTATATAGTATATAGTAATAAACCTATTAAAAATAATGTGCACAACGCACGAACTAAGAATAGTTCGTGATAATGTGTGACAAATTATAATGATAGTCAGTAATAAATAATTTTTTTTTTTTGTCGTGAGCGTATGAGCATAATAATATTATGAATTGTAATTTTTGATTACCTATGTATATGGCTTTAATTTAGAATTTACTTTGCTGTTTGCAGGTGTTGGGTGTTAATTTAGGCTGCAACGCCCAAAATGCAAATAATTTCAAGAAAATTTAATGAATTTTAATATTTGCAATATTATAGGTGACACTCCTTATGTCTAATATTATGACGTTAAGTTATTTGATAAAAATGTATTAATTAGGTAATATGCAATGTATAAATTGACATATTGTAAAGTATATTATAAATTATGTGTTACATTACGTGGAATGTTAATACTGTTTGGTAAAAATCCAGTAGCAGCAAGCTCGTGACATTCACGGACATCGATCACAACCGATTTTCGGTCCATTTTCGCCAACAAGCCATCGTAGTCTACGTTTTCATAGACCGACATTATGATCGATGCACTTAAATTGTTCCTAATGTTTCTACACTTGACCTATTAACTATTATTACTTGTGGCGACGTATGTTTACTGTTTAGGCATATGCAATTATTACTGTGTAGCATAAACTATTATAACAGTATAAACACAATATTATGAAAAATTATCTCGCCAGACTAAATATTTGTAAACGCACACATACACTGAGTCACTGACGATAATATTATACCAAGACTTCGTGACGACTGACGGATGACAGTCGCGCATCATCTAACAATATAGTGTTTGAATGTGACCAGATAACTTATTAATTATTATATACTCGGAGTGAGTACTGAGTGTCGTTAATATAGGGAGACCTGAGGATGGATAACTATTTAATATTATAATATCAAATAATCAATTGAAGTTATAATTGCAGTCTTAAGTTATACACTTGTATATCAAACTATCTACTAGTACATTCCAATATAATATATACATTAAAACATACAGATACAACATACATATACATTATATTGTTTTATATATACATAAGCGCCGTTATATTGACACACTGGCACCAAAAATGTGGTTTGAAGATCTAATACTATGCTAGTATAGTCTAGACCAGAGGTTCCCAAACCTTTTATGGTACAACCCATTTTAGAAATTATTTACATTTTGGAGGCCCACAATAATATTGAATGACTTTTTTTTGCTGTCACGAATGCAAATTTAAAAAAGGATTTTGAATTAAAAAACAGTATAATATTTTATTTTTGCTATATTTTTTCAATAACTGCTAATCTGATTCCGACGTGTTTACAAAGTAGCTGTAAATTCGCAATTGTCACAAACGTAGATACCGATTTATGATAAAACTAAATTTAAACATCGACGAAAAGGAATAAAAACACATGTCTAAAAAATGAATTATTTAAAAATATGACGTGAGTCGTGACCCACAGTTTGGGAACCTCTGGTCTATATCATAGGTAGGTATGAATATTAGCGCAAACAAGGGAGTACTAAGCTCAACCTCTAAGGCTCTAATAGTTATATAACCGCCCGAAAAAACCGGAGATGGTTTCATGATTCCAGAAAAGTCCCATAAGTCTTTTATGGACCTACGCCCCCTCCTGAAAAAATCTCAAACACTATTTACGCCTTTATGTTCACAATATAAAATTAAAATGTATATGTTCATTCAAAAAAGTATTAAACATATTTGAGATAAAAATTTGCAAAAATTAAACAAATTTGTATCTCAAATATAAATCTCTAATAAAACAAATTTTTATTTTACAAAGATGTAGTTTGTAATGAATTAAAATTATATAAATATACTATGTATATACTTAAAGATAAACAACAATAGCTTTCAAGACAATGTGTGTTAAAATTGGTGTCCCGACAATTGAGCGCGGTGAAAATTGGGCGCTGAGACATATGAGCGCTTTATAATATTATACTGGAAATAAATGGATGTTTTTCCCACTTTTGTCAATCTATATGGAGACATATTCAAAACACGGGACTTGCCGTAAAATACCGTGAAAATTCCGAGTTTGCATTAAATATTAAAATGTTAAATGCATTAGCATATATTCCACTAGTCTGTTATTACTGCATTCGAAGACCTATTACAAACTGATTTTTATAAAGAACATGAAACAATATTGACACCTCTCTTAGACTATTTTGAAGACACATGGATAGGTCGTATTAGTCGTAACAGGCAGCGAAGATCCCCAGTTTCCAATAAAATTATATAACTGTTATGGTTGATTAAAGATGACATACCAAGGACCAACAACGCCATTGAAGGATGGCATAATTCATTTAAAAAAGAGGAAAAGTTGAATCGCGTGAGAATTCACCAGTTTATTGCAGGTAATGATCCAAAAGACCAAAACCAAAAAAAGAAAAATACAATGATTCAGAATTAAGAATAGAATATATTTGTGAACAATTTAATTTAAGGTCAACTGAACAGTTTTTAAAAGGCATTGCTCAAAATATTTAATGTTTTAATTTGTATATGTATTTGTATACTTGTAAATTGTAATATGCATTATTAACCATACAATTTTTTGTTTTTGTTTTTTAAAATTATTACCTAACCTAAGATTTACATTGCGCTCAATTGTCTCAGCCCTTAATTTTCGTAGCACTGAATTGTCGAACTGTCGAACTGTCGAGTGTACTTTGTAGTTTGTTTTAGAGTACAAGTCAATGTATGTATGTCGTATGTGTTAAATTTGAATTCAATTATTAGTCGAATACTCATTGCGTACAAAAAATGTATTTTCTGAGCGGAGACAGTCTGTCAACTAGTATATTATTAAGTACTAATTTCATGATATTATATTTAAGATTCTGAGCAGAGCGATTTTACAATGAGGTGTTTTAAAATTTTTTTTATTTTTTGTGTGTGTGTCATCACGGTTACTTGCAGTAAAAGGGCTTTGATTTTTTTCAACAGCAACTCTTCTGGTAGGAAAGTGAATCTAGTTGGTGCATTCGGGAGGTCAAAATAAAGTTAAAGTAAAGTGTAATTTATAATACACAGTAAAAAAATTTGATTATTATAAATTTCTTTAATACTATTTTGCAAATAAACCTTAATTGTAAAGATCTTTGCCCATTCGCAATAACTGTTGGTCTCAGGGCAGTATTGGGGGGGGGGGGCACCACTGTAACTCGGTGTAGTATTGTATCAATAAATTTGTACTATGACTCTACCCTTATTGTGAACTTAGCAGTGCAACGATAACGGATAAGTGCTAGCGCCTAGCATAGAATTAATATAATTTTAACATAACCAACCATGAATTAACCATAAAGAATTATAACTAAAAATGTGTTGAGAAAAATCAAAAAAGGTGGATCTATTTTTTGGTAGGTGGGAGGTGTAAAATTATGGTTGACCCAGGACGCAACATTTGTAAATACGTCCCTGGTTGGACATTTGGGGGACTAAAACCCCCCTGATTCCATTTTTAAGGTTAGGTCCGGACCCCATGGACCCCCCCTCTGGCTACGTCCCTCTACCAAACCATTTTTTGTTTTAGATATATTATTAGCCTATGTGTTAATATTAACATGATTTTATATTGTTTATATATATCTACCAAATCAGTTATTTAAGGTGTCAATAACATGAATTACTATGCAAGTAGAACTGTATTTATCTCCAATGCATTAAAACAGTTTATATCAGAATCTTTTTGATGAAAAGGTCAGTGAACAGTAATGGTTTAAACTTTAAACTGTAAGTGGTATTTAAATGATAAACTGCAATACAAAAAAAAAAGGTTTATAATAATGCTGAATATTGTTATTTAATTATAGATGAATAACAAAACTTCTAAACAAGAACAGTTCACTAATTATTAAGGTATACAATGAGTAGTGAGTAGGTTCAAACTCATATACATATAAATGGCGTATTTTTCTTCATTTGTGTGACTCCCATCCAAACCATCCTTCGGTGTAATTGAAAATACTTAAAATTAAAAAAGTTAAATAAGTTTCCCATTATCAAGTCTATACAATTTAGGTAATTCAAAAATATATATACTTTTTATAACCCAAGTCTGCAACATAACGGCATGCTTTTAAGCTCCTTATTCCTTTGGCACAAGAAAAAACGATTCTTTGATCTTTATCTGGCTTAGGAATATTGTACTTTTCTAAAAATCTGTCAGGTGTTAATTCAAATGCAGTATTTAACTCGTCGACTAAAACAAAAACAAAATTATAGGTAAATACACAATGATATTAATTATAAAAATAATAATGTTTTACAGACGTGGAATATTAAAACTATTCGGTATAACTCCTGTGGCAGTTAATTCTTCTTTAGTACGTACATCAATAATTAACGCTTCATTTTGACAAATAAACTCTTTCAATTTTTCATAATTAATATCTGTAATTATTGGTGGAGATGTACCAGAAAAACTGCGATTTTGAATAAGTGAACATGAGGTTGATATGGTTTTATCTAGAACATTAAAATATTGACAGTTAAATGTGGTTATTATCGGTAAATATTATGTTTAATTAACCCATTGGCTACTAGAGTAGAGAACCTAGTTTAAAAAATAGATTTGGATGTACTGTTATAGTAGGTATATTATATGTTAAGATGAACACAAGGTTAGAACAAACCAAGAAGTACAATCAAACATAGAGAGAGTCGTAGTAGTACATGTTTGGGGATCAGAAGGAAATTGCTGCAATGGGACAGCATCAGATGGGTTGAATACAATATGAGACAGGAGCTGGAAACAAAATGACCACAATTCAGTCAATGGTGAAAGGGTCATGATAGTTATCCCTATTAGAAGTAGAAAATGGAGATTAAAGATAAGGACATTTAGTTATTGCGTCAACGACCTAAATGGACAGTAGAAAAACAAGATGAAGGAAAAAGAGTTCATATTATAATTTTATAAGTTTTATAAAAACACATGCAAGGATAATCAGATAAAAAATTATTATTTATTTTAATTATAAATATCAAATTAAGTTATTTTTATAAAATATGAGAATTAAAAAATTTTAACTTGCTGAGAATTTGTATATTTTTTTTTTATAGTAAAAACCTAAATTCAGTAAAAAGAAATTTTCTTATTACTAATAAAATTGATTGAATACAAATTATTTCATATTCAACACAGGTCAATCTATTTTAATATATATTTTTAATTTAGTTGTAAATCTTAATCAACTAAATTGACCACCAACTTACAAAGTATTATAGGTTTTGTTTTCTTCGTGAACCGTTTGCATACTACTATACTAGATGATAAGTGGTGCATTTGTACCATGAAAGGAGAATAATTACTTTTGACAATTTTTAACATGATTTAAATTATTACTATTAAGTATTTATTAAGTATTATTGTATTATATTATAATAAATGCAGTAGTATATTTAATTTTACCTAATTAAAAATTTGATATTAATTCAAATAAAATTACAGTCAAACTTACAAAGGTACCTCCTACTTTTTACAATAATCATTAAAAGAATTGATAAATAAGAATATGAAATAAATTGTTAATATAAATAATATTACGACGAATGAAAATCGCTACGTCGGGAATATAATAGTATAGGTACCTACCATAGAATAAAGATACCTACTACTTGCTATTACCTATCGCCTTTCAGTCAAATTAAAATTTAAAATTTTTTTAAGCTTTGGAGTTTGGACCATTGATTGTTGAATGTTTAAATACCGATACTCAAGTAGTAATAACTACTAACGAAGTTACCCAAGTTTCAACTATAGTATAGTAGGTAAGTACTCAACTAATACCAGTTACTAATAAATTAGTACTTAGTAATTACCAATACAGGAATACTGAATAGTGAATACTCAACATCGCATACTTGACGCATGAAGATTTGAGATAAGGAAACTTAGGAAACCAAACTCTGTAATACCACAGAAACATATTAAAACAATAGGGGCCGACAAAAGTAGCACGGCTATTCTGCCACCAGGAGCGCGGCGTTCGATAGGAGGGCTACGTTTTACCACATTGTACATTATATTATATAGTACATTATATAGTACTAGTTGCCATCGGAAACTCGTTGTCGTGAAACTCGGAAGAATGTGCAACTCAGTGATGGAGACGACAATTGCGTTGAAATGACTTATAAAAGTCAGACAGTCTTGTCGACGTCATGGGTGGTTAAAAAACAAAAATTTAGGAGGTGATAAGGATTTTTGCTAAGGCTTGGAGGTCTCATTTCGAACGCGGGAATGTTTAAAATTCCAGTTTAAGTGTCTAGAAATCTTACATCACCCATGACAATCGGCAATTGCATAATACGGTTCTCCGTCGTAAGTCTGGGGGGGGGGGGTCAACAGATTTAACAAATATTTATCATAGCTAACTTAAATAACCATTATATAAAACAATAGTAATTTAATACTAGATTAAAGATATTCTTATTTGATCATTTATCAAAGACATGTTATTAAATCAAATCAAAAACTCGCGATAAGTGTTATTAGACAATTTCATTTCATTGAACTTTGAGTCATTTTTTTCATTAGAATTTTTGCTGTTAGGTGTAGTTTTCTTTTTCTTTGACTTTTGAGCTGTTAAATAATAAATGAAAAGTATTAGGTATTGTCAATACATAAAAACAGCAAAACACATAAGTTTCTAAAAAAAAAAACCATACTAAATAATCCAAACTTACTTTTAATAAAATCAGCAACTTTTGATTTTACCACTGGACATTTATATACTGAGGGTAGTCTGTTAATTACTTTTTTAGCAATAGGATTTAATGGAACCCAATTATTTTTTTCCGATATGGCAAGTTGACTAAATTGGCCTTCTAATTTTTCAACCTAAAATATATTTTATAATGTTTACTATTAATTACATTACATTATAACATAATATTAAGGTTGTAATTACTTGTAACAATAGCATATCCCAAAAGCCATCTAAGTCGTCTGTTGTGATGAGCATTTGCCCAGACTTATTATCATATTCATTTATTAGAGTATGCATTTGCATAAATTTATCAGTTGTCAAAAGTTTTGTTTGTCCACATGCAACATCTATTTCATCTTTGACAGACTAAAACAAGATATTAAATGTTAATAGTTATAAACTTACAAGTAATTTCATATAATTATAACTTAATTATTTAACTACTTAAGTTTTGATACAATTTTTATTCAATTTCAAAACACATTTGTTTAATTTTCACTAATATTTTAAAATAATATTTCTGTAATAGATACTTATAAGTATAGTACTATAGTAGTTAGTAGGTTAATTAGTCAATATATAAATATTAAGACAGTTGTATTGAAACAATAATTTACTTGAGGAATATCATTGCCATTTCTAGCAGATAATTCTGCCCAATATTCAACTTTCTTTTGTAGTTCAACAGTTTTTTTGTCCAAGCTTCTTCTAACATCAATACAATACTATTTCATACTTTTAGACTAAAAACACTAATAATATTCATCTAAATGTGCAAACATTGTTTTCATAAAATGTTTCAACAATTTATACATATAAATAGAAAAGGTAATTGGTTAATATGCATACCTATAATTATAAGCAACAGTGTTATCTTTAATTGTGTTATTCAAATTTTCTACATCAATATCTTCTTGTAAATTATATTTTTCTTTTTGAATCAATGTTGGATTATCATCCTTTACAACTTTTATTTTATTCAATATGGTTCTATCATTGGACTTTTCTTCAAATTCTTTCAATTCTTTAATTGTACTTAGATTAATTCTTGGTTTTTTAATTGGAATTGTAATAGGTACGTAAATAGTAATTTGTATTAAAAAGGTAAATATAATTTCTGAGTTTCAAAATAGGTTAAGGTAAAAACTTACTTTTGGGTAGCCATAGTAGGTGTCTAGTGCGATATTGCAATGTTATAACAGTGAAATTGTGGTGTAAGTAATAAATTTTCGAATATCAAGTAATAAAATGTAATACCTAAACAATAGAGATCAGGACTCAACAACCACGATTCAGTATTCTTTCACATTTCATTGCATCCGACGAGTCCAAGGATTGTCGGAAACTCGGGACTACACACTACAACTAAAACCGTTAAACTCGTGTCAAAATGTCAAATCGGATATCGACCAATCGCCGTCAGGCGTCAGCGTCACAGACAAGTATATAGAAATATAGAATAGTATATGGTCAGCGTACCGCAAGACAGTGCAACCGTGTAAAATAAATGCACGAAACAGTGAAAACAATAATTTATGATATAGGATAATAGGATTATAGGACCGGATACGGCATAGAGTAACTCTACGGGATACAGCCGGTACTCTGCAGTTCACGATTGGATTGTAGTCTTGTAGATATCAACAATATCCACCTTGAGCCAGACCATTATAATTTATTAATACCTATGTCATAGTCCCATTCAACACTTAACTGTATAATATAATAATTATTTTAGTCATAATATAGTTCAATGTAGAAAGACTCTCTAGTTCCATGAGTTCAATGCATGTACCATGTTGCCCAGCAAGTTCGTCGCCATCGAACATTTATTACACACATTTATCAATACAAATACAGAGTGTGTCTTCATATATTATATGATACTAGCTGCCATCGGAAACTCGCTGTCGTGAAACTCGGGGGCACGTGCAACTGTGTGATGAAGACGACAATGTCGTTGAAATGACTTCTAAAAGTCACTCTTGTCGATGCGCGCATCAAACATCAATGTCAGAGACACGTCGCTTATATTATGTGCTTCAAATGCTTCAAAACATCGTGGCATGACTCCATCCATAGTGTATGATCTAAGTTTTTATCAATCATCAATGACTTTTTTTATCCGGTTACCAGGACAGTAAGATGTGGCTCCTAACCATTGACATATTATGTCAATGCTTCTAACCCAATAGGTTAATCCTAATAAACCTAATCTGTTATATATGCTCCTAACTTTTTATCAGGCCAAGGGCATCAGCGGTTAACACAGACTGCAGTAGTCACTCGTATTTTTTTACGTGTTATAAAAGTATAAAACGATTAATAATAATTAAAACGGGGGCACGACCCCTGCCCCCCTCCACCATAGGACAAAAGGAGCTCGATTATAAAATTTTGAATTCAACGTTTTGCGACCCCTTAAAATATCACTTTAATTGCAATTATAATTCTCATATTTTATTAACACTGAATTATAGTATAAAAAAGAAATAACACATATTTAACTTACGAGTTCACTACCTACAAGTATAAATAACTATTATTTATAACATTCAGAACGATTTTCTTTCTCGATCTTTTTTGTTATTCAATTACTTTAGGAAGATATTTAGTTGAGAACAGAGATCATGCTGAAAAAACATGTGAATTATGCACTCCGCACTCGCGACCCACTTTAAAAACAATGTAAAAATCTATTTTGATAAGAACCTCTGCGACCGGTCACCCTAAAGGGCCTAAAGCGACTTGCGACTTGCGACCAGTTGTGGTTGGGAACCGCTATAGTCTGTGTACTTTTGTAATATGTTAATGTTATGATGACGTGTTCAGTTGTTTAGAGTTAAAATACGTATTAATTATTAATTAATAACAATTAATGATTACCATTTATCACTTACCTAATTAGTAATTACTAATTAAGCACTAATATAGTATTATGTAATGTCTGTAATTAAAAATAATCATTTGTGAAACAAAGGGGCTAACAAATGCAACTAATGTACCTACATAATATTGGATGGCCAACCACCACGTTTGTTCTGTGGCTATAATAATATGTAAGTCCGAGTTTTTAGTCAGGCGTCAGCGGCTCTATTATTCAAGATTGAGTATCGACGTATCGTTATATTATTATAGCATTTGTGTTGCCATTATTACTTGAATATGAAATGGTTACTCTAGTATTTCTAGACTTCTAGTCACAACTCACAGATATTATATAAATCACGCATTAAGTATTACAATTAATTATTATAGAATTAACACAGAATAGGTTTCACCTATATTTACTTCGATATTTATTTATTTCACCTATTATTAAGTACTAGCTGCCCGTTCTTCCTCCGGAAGAAATTATTTTTTTATAATTTAATTTAAAAACATAAGACTATTTTTTGCCTATACAAATCATACAACGATTATGAAATAAATAAAAAAATTTTTTTAAAAAAAACAGACATCGTTATCGGTGAATATATGAAAATAATTGGTAATTAGTTAATTATTATTATTATTATAATGAGGGTTCAAAACCGGTTTCCTTCGTCTCCAAAATCAAGTTAGATTCTTATATGTATAGAAGATAATAATTTTTAGTGATTCTAGAGAAGGAAGTATCTTTCTTACGTATTTAGTCCGGTGAAGTACGAGATTTTGAATAAAAGTATGATAAAATAGCCCACATATCATTTCATTACGACCATTAGATATTTATATACAGTGTACTCTCAATTATCCGCGGATAAACGAATTCCGTAAAATATTCGAGGGTATAGTATAAAAGGAACATAACATAATATGTACATATTGTACCTTGAGAAGCCAGGTAGGGTACTTCAAAAGTATCTCAACACTTTCTCAAACTACAGAGTATAGCTAATAGGTTTATCGGTTTATGTACCTAACTATTTCCAATGCCTAGTGCCGACAGTGGCACTAATATATCTATGACACGTGTTAAAGTATATTTTTTTAGATAAGTAGCCCAATTTAAAGTATTGCAGGGTACTGCATCCAGAATTTAAGTTAAAACTTAAAAATAAATTATTGAATTGCATTGCTTATATGAAGGTACATCGAATTGTATCTGGTGGTTAGATTAAAAAAATGGGAGGGTGAGGATGAAACTTTGTTTCAAAACCGAGTATTTGCAGTCACCACGTATATAGGGATCTATCAATTTCGCCAATATTCATTATTGACTATTGATTTAAGGTTATTTTTTCCCTGGTTTGGTGGTAGAATCGATAAGTTGTTTTTAGAGTACCAATACTGGCAGAATTCATGTACCTTATCTCCCAGTATAAAAACAAATAAAGAATAATATCAATAAATAGGCTATTGGTATATGTAAAAACAAATTTTATTTTGTTAAATGTGTAATTACAAATTTATAAGTATAAAATACAAATTTCTTTTTCTTAAGTGTTACATGTATAAATATTAGTCTAATTTAGTTAAATATTTGAGGCTATAAAAATGTTGTTCAATAGTTCAATGGAATTATAAAAAAATATACATATTCCAATAAGTCATACAAACAAGAAGTAAAATTAAATATCGATAACATTTAATACATTTTTAATTTATTATTATTTTGTAATATAATAAAAATAATAAAAAGAGGTAGAACTATATATATTTAAAAAAATAACACTAATATATTTTATTCTCAGTCTGAGGTATATAATAGTAAAATAGTAAATGCAATTGTTAAAAAATATATTAATTACATACATACTGAAAAATTAATTCAATGAAAACATCAAACAAAAAAATATTTTGCTCAGAAGTATAAATAATTGATATACCTTTATGGTAAAATAAAAAACATAATACCTACCAAAATTATAAATGCATAGAAATAAAATCTAGAATTTACAATTCATTAAATTATTTATAAATGCAAAATATATCTTAAAACATATTTTCACAAATAATTGTTTGGGTTTAGTTATAAATTGTTATTTTAAATCATTCAATTATTTCATAACCATTTGAATTTGCCGAACCTTTTACATTAGCTATTAATAAAGGTCTACATTCTACCATTTCATGACCTCTTCTTTGGGTACCAAAACATTTACAACAGATTTGCTCCGTATGTTCAAGTAAGTTGTAGAGGAAACTGTTGAAAAATGCTTGCATAGGATTCAAAATAGCCTGAAAATTAAATTTATATTTAGTATAGACATTTATAATCTATAATTTTAGAATAGATATTCATATGAAAAGTATTAAAAGTTTTACAATTTTTATTTTATTTTTATAAAAACATGTACATAGATACCATTAGATACCAAAGTGTAAGCATCACTCCATTTGGTAGATTATCCCAAGATGTCCAAACTATTACTGCATTAATTAAATTGGGTGCCCAACACAAGTAAAATGCTAGATTAATTAATGCAAATCTCTGTTTAAATAAGTCCAACATTTTCCGTTCATTTGTTGAATATTGTGCCATGTATGAAGTTATTATGTGGTATATGTATCCAGTGGATAAAGAATAGAGCACTGGATTGACTACCATAACAACGATGACTGGCAAAAACGTAAAAAAATAATTTGGAAGGAACTTCATGACAATATTTTCTTTGAGGCTCAAATTGTGACAGCTAAAATATTTAAAGAAAATTAGAAGACATTTAGAATTATAGCAAGTTACTCAAACATTAAAACATTATAAAAAACATATCAGCACACCATTTATTTCTGACTAGTTCACGACAAATTGTGTTCAGCAAATCCAATTTTATATTGCTAATTAAGTAGTTGTCCTATTATCAAACTTAAAGCTAATAATATATATATAATACCATCTATATCTCTTAAAAGGTTTTTTTTTGATATTTTAATTTTAAAATGGTAATATTTTACAGTTATAAATCAATTTAAAATTAAAACATTTATAAATAATCCATAGGCTGGTGGTCATAGGTGCTCTAGATAAAATTCTTACTTTTAAGTTTAACTAATAGGTCAACTTACTCTATTATTAAAGCTAATAACACAAAATATATTCTGTTGAACACAAGTTTTACTGTATTGTTTATAACCCGGAGAAAGAAAACAAATAGTATGCCGACATCCTTTAAACAGTTTATACTTTGCATTTGGTCTATAAAGAGCAGAAAGTCCGATAAATGTAAATATGGCAGGAATTGACCAAGCAACAAGATGATATAATTTTCTACATGAATGTTTATCTTGATATGCTCTCCACATGTCAACAGCATATGACAAAGTCCAAAACCATGTTACAATGTAAAAGTACTGAATCCAAACCTTTTCATGAATGAGATAATAATATTAAACTTTTTACAAACATAGAAACTTTATCATTTAAAAGTTGAAAAATAAAAACTTACTGCTAAAAATATACAAGAAACTGTATATGGTTGTCCATCATACCATTGAAAATGATGCATTAGTTTTAAACAAGACCTTAAAAGTATACCTAAAATCAAAATTAAAAACCATATAGAGGTATTTTTTCCAATAAATAATTGTTTCCTATACTTTAAAATAGACTTAAAATAGATTGTTAAGTTTTGTTTATGAATAATAAATATGTACAGTATTTTATTTCATCCATGATATTCTAACTGAACAGCATCGATTAACAGTTATTCAGGACAGGTAGCTCAGAATATAACAGAGTGCTGTTGGTCTTAAAGGGCTATATTTTCCATCAAAATTTGAAAAAAAATATGAGTTAGTGTTCCAATTTGTAAAAACATTTAAAATTTTAAAATTAACTATAGGAAATTTGATTTTTATTCGTTTTCATAGACAGTAATTGAACATTGTGATTAAAATTCAAAAATATACTGGTTTCCAGTTCAGACTGCAATTGTGTAAATATGTAAATTCTATGTTTGTATAATGTAATAATTTAAAAATAATCAAATTCACTGATTGGCACAAATAGTGTTTAACTGTTAAAAGCGAACAATTTAATAATAATGGAAACAGAGCCCCAGATCCCTTAAATGTGTTCATAGCGTTCCAGTTCGAAAAATTTTCCATTCTCAAGCATTTAGGTAAATCAATACATTACAAATATCTTTTAATTTGTTTTTCAGATGATATGAATACAATAAATTTTCTAATAATAAAAGCAAAAAAATGTGTAGATTGAATTAAAATATAAGATGAATTTAACCAAAATAAAATATTTAAAGTTAAAAAGTTTACCCAATGATGCACAGACATCTGCTATTGCTAGCCACATTATAATATATTTTCCTCGCCGCATGATATTAGAATAAAATCTATTTGGAACTTTTATCTCAATTTTTGGTAATATCTAAAAAAATGTATTAATTATTAGGTATTACATGTATTTAGGTATTTCAATATATTTTTTCTACTTGAAAACTAGGTAGGTAATCAATCATTAAAAATAAATTAAACTTTATAGTAAACAAATTTAAACAATTATTACCTGGTAAGCTGCACCAGTTATACCTATTATTGAAGACAGTAAACACACCATATTAAAACGGTCTGTATTGAATTCATTCATGAGTTTATAAGACGGATGATAATCAAGAGCTCTCCGACAACAAAATGTTTGAATTGATGGGTCAGCCATATTCTATGCATGTAAAGAATTCAAATTTTAAATTTTTGATCAGACATAAATTATTTTTCAAGACAGGAATTGATTAGACATGCCTGTCATATTACATAACACATTAATATATATTTTATTGTACATCTTAACCAACATAATAATTTATTACAATAATCTTACCGTTAAGGTTAATTGAAGTTCTAATCAGAATAGCGATTAAGATTAAGTTTATGATTAATTTACATACGTTATAATTTACAATAAATTAATCAACATTAGTAATTTTAAATTTTAAACTAATTTTATACCGTAATAGTAGTCAGTTATAATCATAGACAGTTGTATTACATAATATTACAACTGTATTCTGTGGTTGTATTCGTATACTAGACACTAGTTACAAATGTTACAATAATAAAAATAAATGTTATTGTGCTTGTTATCAATTTTAAGCCGGCCACTGTCATACATAGACCTTATACAGAATATATAGAGTTATCATGTTGAAACTTCAAAACCACGATGATAGTGTTCGAAACACACGTGAATACGTGATAACCAATATTATAAATGAAGCAAAATCCGCAGTATTCCTGTAAGAAATAACTAAGCATTAAGTATTAATTCTTCAACTCCCCAGAGCAAAAGTTTTGTCCAAAAAATGTCTCGTTTAATTGTAAAAAATTTACCAAAATCTGTAAGTTGTGCGGAGAGCAAAGCTCTAGATCATCAAATTCAAATAATAATATAAGCATATTAATATTTTTTAATGTTTCTAGATAACAGATGACAAATTAAGAGAAATTTTCAGTGAAAAAGGAGTTATTACTGATGTCCAACTTAAATATACCAAAACTGGAAAATTTCGTCATTTTGCCTTTGTTGGTTTTCAAAACGAAGAAGAAGCAAAATCAGCTTTAGACTATTTTGACAATACCTTTCTCAATTCTTTACGTATAAAAGTTGAGAAATGTACCGAATTAGGTGAATATTTCAAATAAGTATTAATTATTATAGCTTAACCTTTCTCGTTTTATAATATCCATGTGTTTTTCTAATTGATCACTAGGGGATGATAACAAGCCCAGATCCTGGAGCAAATATGCACCTGATAGTACAGCCTATAAAAAAGAACATAGTGCTCCTAAAACGGAAGAAGTTAAAATCCAAGCCGAATCTAAGACAAAAAAAAAAAATAAACTCATATCTGAAGTAGAAGAAAAATTAAAACAGGTATACTAAATATCTTAAGTCATAACCTTTTGGTGATTTACATTTGCGATTTGAGGAAGTTCCACCCTGCGATAGGTTCTCAAGTTGCATCATTGAGTATTGTCAGTAGTTTATCCAGAGCTTAGTAACCTTAATCTGAATTGACGACATTACCCAATACTCAATATAAATATAAACCTGAAATCAAAATATTGTCTAAAACTAAAAACTAAAAATCCAGTATCAAAAATATGAATTACAGTTTTAAGAATTTGTGTAATTTTTATATCAATACAACTGAAGAATATGTTACTATTTCTAGTAGCCTTGAATAAATTCATTAATTATTGATGGTAAATATGTATTGTTATGTTCAAAAAGTAACAGAAATAGTATAAAAAAAAAATTTTCAATAGATTTTTAGATCAGATCAAAAACAGCAATACCAGTGCAAAGCAAATCCTTGAAAAAACACACATTAATGGACATTAAGTATACAGTAAAAAGTCATAGAAAATGATTCTAACTATTTTTTATTATTTGATCAATCCAAAATAAAACTTATTATTGAACACAAATAAAATTTAAATTAGTTTTGATAGTTGAATATTCTGATGGTTCATAATGTGCAGATTTTATATGTAAATATATACTTTTTTTTGCGTATTTTAGTAAAACTTAATATATGTTACAAAATTTTTCAAACGATTGTATACAAGTTACATATTTTAAAAACATTAAAATAATTAAAATAAATTTAATCCGGTATGTTTTACCATTAGTGTCAATTTAAAAAAATGTCTACCGTACATAAATGATAAATATGTGCTATAAAATCTATTTCTACAATGATGTTATAAAATGTTATCTTAAGTTTGTTATAATATTCAATTAATTAATACATTTTTAGCACTTAAGTGATCCTATGTTTACTGAATTCTTGGAAGCTCACGGACAAGAAAAAATTCTTAAAGATTTAAGCAATGAAGATAAAACTGAAGAATCACCCACTCAAAAAGAAATAGACGAAGAGCCTACAAACAAAATTGCAAATGCCAATATATCTGACTTTGAAGTGTGTTAAATTATTACTCATATGTATACATAATAATATTATTGAATATAACATAATATTTTTTAGTATTTGAAAATAAAAAGCGGTAAGAAATCTGAGGCAGAGATTTTGAAAAATCCAGAAACTAAAACAGAATATCATACAATTGTAATTCGTGGTTTACCATATAAAGTAAAAAAGGCCATGTTAAAAGAATTTTTCAAACCACTGAAACTAGATTCTATACGCTTACCACCAAAAATAAAAGGCGTAGCTTATATTGGTTTCAAAAATAAATGTGACGCTGAACAATGTCTTATTAAAAATAAGAGTTTCTTAAGTATGTTTAGATGTTGAACAACTGGTTAATTTTATATTTATACAATTGGATTATTTTAGATGGAAAACGAGTACTATTATACCCAATGAAAAATGAAGCTGATGATCCAGAAGAAAACAATAACCTTAATAAAAGAAATCCCGATTGGCAGAAACAAACTGATAGTTTAATACACGAAGAAAGCATTGCAGAATCTGGTCGTATATTTATTCGAAATTTACCATTCATTACTACAGAAGAAGAATTACAAACTATATTTGAAAAGTATGGTACGTTTAGTTTTTTTTAAATGTGGTAATTATCTTATTTTATTTGTATACACATGTTCAAACTGATATATTGTAATATTGTCTATAGGTCCTGTAACTGAAGTAATAATCCCCATTGATAAAATATCTCGCCAAGTCAAAGGTTATGGCTTGATTACATATCTTATGCCTGAACATGCTGTGAAAGCTTATACTGAATTGGATGGTACAATATTCCATGGGCGAATGATGCATTTGTTACCTGGAAAAGCCAAAGTAAATTTAGACGATGGTAATTATTTTATTTTTGTATGATTAACTATTAGTTTATAATTACCAAGGAATAATATTAACTATTTTTTTTATATTAAATAAATTTGTTAAATTTTAAATTTAGAAACAACTAACGAAGGTAGTTCATTCAAAAAGAAAAAAATGGCAAAATTAAAATCTGAAGCTGGATTATCACACAACTGGAACAGTCTATTTTTAGGCCAAAATGCTGTTGCCGACATTATTGCTAAGACTTATAACACAACTAAAGAGAATGTAAAATACTAAAGAAGAAACTATTATTTGTTAACACAAGTACCTACTAATCTAATCCTCTGTCATCAGGTGCTTACTGGTGATAATGCTGCTGTCAGATTAGCCCTTGGTGAATCACAAATTGTTTCAGATACAAAAATGTACCTAGAAAATCATGGTGTTAAACTAGATATATTCAATCAAGTAAGTCATCTTTAAATCAACCCATTTTAAAATGCATTAAATGAATTAATATATAATATACATATACATTATATACCTATATCCTGTGTTGGTACGTGAAGTTTTATTTGACAATTTCAGCTATAGAAACATACATACTAGGGATTTGGAAAATTTTGTTTCTTAGACCTATCCATGTTTATATATAGGCTTATTATTTTAGAAATTATTTTTTTTCAACAATTAGAAGTGATTATAAAATATTTTTTTTAACTATAGTTTTTACTTATTTCTATCATTATAATTTTTCAGTTTTTTGAATGACACATTGTTTATTTCTTATTCCATCACATAATATTTTTTGCTATATTTAAATATAAATTTAATTTTGAAAGAGTAATTAATAAGTTATAAGTATGTTAATTTAAGATTGCTAAAGTGGTGAATAAATATTCTGTTGGGTATCCTTATGCAACTTCACTTGACTCATCTTACATTTCAAATGATGTGTTTATAACTACTCAACTAATATAATATAAAACTTTAAAATTCAATTGATATATATTGTTTTATATCAATATGGAAGAAAGACTCATAAATATAATTAAATTAGAAGTATAAATATTGTAATTCAAGAATGTCAAAAGCTTAAAGAATGAAAACTTAAAATAGTAAACAATTCTTATTTTGTGATAACCAAACTGTGTAAAAAAACATTTTAATAATCTTTATAATGTTTGAAGTAATGAGTGCTTCAAATTTAAATAATTCAACAGTTTAATCTTTCTCCTTCTTTGTTTTCATGGAAAAAATAAACCATGAATTGAATTCTTTGTATTGTTAAATTTTGTAAATTAAAGTACATATACTTAAGAAATTAAGTAACTAAATAAATACTTATTATTAATTTAGGATTTTATTAGCGTGTAGCATTTATTGTTGAATTATGTAATTGTTAAAGTTGTAATTTTTTTTTTATAGACTGTAATAAATCGAAGCAAAAATGTTATATTGGTAAAAAATTTACCTGCCGATACTACTGAGCTGGAGGTAAAAGATATTTTCTCAAAGTACGGCTTAGTCAACAGAGTAGTATTACCCCCTAGTGGTGTCACTGGTAATTTAAGTTTAAATATTTATTGTTTGATCTAACTTTTAACAATGATATTATTTTAATATAGGATTAGTAGAATTTGTTCAAAACTCAGAAGCAAAAACAGCATTTCGTCAACTTGCTTATTCTAAATTTAAACATCTACCACTTTATTTAGAGTGGGCTCCAGATAAAGTTTTCACCGATGTTCCTCAGAACATTCATGGTAAAAAATAATTAAAAAATTACTTTTAAGAAGATAATGTTTGATTACTTTAATTTTAACTGTAGAAGAAATCATTTCAAATTCAACTAACAAAGAAACTGAAGATGATATAGATGAACCTGAATCAGATACCACATTGTTTATTAAAAACATAAATTTCAATACTACAGAAGAAAATATCTCAAAAGTATAAAATAATTTATTTATGAGTTTTTAGAAATAAAAACCCATCATGATCATTAAACTATTTTTTAGCACTTTGAATCTTGTGGAAAAATTGCAAATGTTACTGTTGCTCGAAAAAAAGACCCTAATCATCCAGGACAATTACTCTCAATGGGTTATGGATTTATTCAGTTTTTCAGACAGAAATCAGTTACAGAAGCATTGAAAACCAAACAATTGTCTATGTTGGATGATCATTCAATTGAACTTAAACGTTCAAATAGGACATTACAGTTAGTAGTTTAACAGTTATATTTGAAATATTTTAATAAATTTATTTATTTTTTACAGAAGTGCAGCAGTTGCAGAACGAAAACAAGGTAAATCATATGAAGAAAGCACCAAAATACTCGTACGTAATATACCATTCCAAGCTAGTATTCAAGAAGTTATTGAATTGTTTAAGTATGTTTCTTGTAACATAATTTTTAGATTAGGAATTATATTATTGTTAATATTTTAGAACTTTTGGAGAACTAAAAGGTTTGAGAATGCCTAAGAAAATGGTGGGAACTGGCACTCATAGAGGATTTGCATTTGTTGAATACAATTCAAAGACCGAAGCAAGAGCAGCCATGGATTCAATGTGCCAAAGCACTCATTTGTATGGTAGGCGATTGGTGCTTGAATGGGCACAAGCCGGTGAAAATCTTGATGAAATGCGTAAAAGAACTGCAGATCAATACCAGTTACCCGGAGGTTAGATTTTTGAGAAATAGTATTGAGTGATAAGAAAGTTTGAAAATGCCTTACAATGTCATAAGCAGTCAGGCAGAATTTATTGGCAGTCTAGTTTGTGTAATTAGTAATAGTAGTAATTACTTTACTTGTCCATTTATGTACAACATTGAACATATATACTAATAGTACAAAACATTTTCAAACTTTATAGTTTATAGATATACTTGTATGTTCATCAGTAACTTGGAATTGCATTGGTTACTGAGCTAATGTTTTGTTAGTAAATAAAAACATAGGAGTATAGGATATTCATATCACATACATGCCAAAATGGGTTTAAGTAGAAACCTTAGATCATATACCATGCTATGGATTGAGCCATGCTAATCTAACCGATGCTTAGATAATCTATATTAACAATTTGAACAACATGTAAGTGACAAGTGTGACTGTGATGCTTTAAATGCGCATGCACGAGGTGAACCATTGCATATATTTAGCTGTTGGGTTATATTTATGAAATATATCAATTCATACAAAAAAATATATGACATTTATATTCGAGTATATTGTGTATTTCTCTTTGCATATGCACACATCGGGCATCTTAGTCAGAGACTTGTTGCTAATATGTGCTTCAAGTTATCGGGACATTCATAGTTTATGATCTAAGGTAGAAACACTTGAAACCATTTTATATTTACGAGTTATGACACTAATGATCATTCACTAAAAACTAAAAAATATTAATTATTGACAACAAAATAAAAATTTTTTCAGGCACAAAAAAACACTGTAAGAGTGTTGCTGATATTCAAATAGACGAAGAAGAAAATAAGGAATAAAAGCCATAAAAAAATAATTTTGTTTACATTTAAGAGATAAATAAATTGATTTTACAATGACGAGTGTTATATTTTGTATCTATATTCTATGTACAGTTAGTAATGGTAGTATACACGATATGTAGTCAAAATAATGCTTAGACTTTCTACTATCAATATCTTTACTTGTGTGAAACTGAACATAGTTGGTGCATTTTTCCATTTAAGAGATAATGTTATTGATGATAATGATGTTAATGATGATAAAAATTTTTAAAGATTCCCTGAAGTTTTCAAAAACACAAAAAAAAACGAAAAAAAATTACGCTGAATCGATTTTGGTTTTTGACGTAATTCTACTATGAATAAGTACATGCAATTTTCACTGAATGTTTATATTAGAATTTTCGTTACACCATACAATTTTTATAAAACTGACTCATGTTTAGCTATTTATATGAAATTTTCGATTTTTATAAATTTTGTTTAAAATTTATCTCGGTGAAATTCTGGTTGCTTGGTCAAAAAACTTAAAAAAAATTAAGAGTTTTCTCATAAGTCGTTGTAAATCCACAATAATTTTGTATGAGCGTTTGAATTTAGAATTTTTACAAAATTCGTATAAATCACGAAAAATTGAAAAATTATTTTGGGATAGAAATTTTCTTTTAAAATGTAATACAAGATTTATTATAGGTTTGCCTACTTTTATCTAAACATTTTTTAATTCTAAAGCTTAAAAAAAAATAATGTTACTTTCTGGTAACCTTTTTTTTAAGCTAGTAAAACCTGGGAAATCCTCCATTAAAATGTTTAATATTATAGCTATGGACTGAAAAATAATTTGAAAATGTTCGAGATCCTTGATGAATTTTGTCAAAATTTTAACTTAAAATGCATATAATCAAAAATTGGGCTTATGTATCTTTATTATTTTTAAACTTCCATTTAAGAAACTTGCATTACATTTTCAAACTTTTTTGCTGAACGAAAAAGCATTTATCCAGAATAATCGGACAAATTAAAAAAATTAATAGTCTTAAAAGGATCAAAATACTTCGAAAATGTAAAATAAAATATGGAAAATGCAAGTATAAATATTCAGTGAAAATTTCAAGTGTCAACGATTAATTTTGACTTACAAACAATTTTTTAAAACTTTTTTTTGTTTTTCAAGACGATTTAAGAAATTACTGAGAACTTCCAATTTTGACTTGTTAAAAGTATTAGTTAGATTCACTTTCCTGTCAAAAAAGATGCTGATGACGTAAATCGGAGCATTTTCACTATCTCAAATGCTAATGTCAAACAGAAAAAAACTACCTGTCATTGTAAAATAGAAAAATTCATTCGCTACTTTCAGAATCTAAAAAAATTACTAAAAATAGTAGTATATATATAATAAGATATACGTTTTATATATAAGCTATATAGTTTGGCGGATCTGCAGCAACACACCTATTAGAGAAACCTATACTCAATGACGGTACCGCGTGTCCACGTATATCATTACTCATTAGTGTACCAACTCCATTACTCGATAGACCGTAAATGTCTGTTAACCTGTCATGTAGTGTATGTGGTGAATATTACATGTCATGTATCTACTTTTTACATAGACCTATAGTTAAACTAGTTTATAGGTCTATGCTTGCATAGCAGAGAGATTACTTTATGCTAGGATTCAGGTACTGTTTTTTAGTTTAAATGAATAATACTCATAAATCATAATATAGGTACTCATAAGTGTCGATAATGATTCCGAGAATTATTGCTTATTTCAACTTAATTATGTGGAAAATATAACCATGCAATTATTAATAATCAACCACTTCTCATTTTGGAGTTTTAAAATTATTGTGCCTATTATTATAGTTATTAATCCAAGCATCATACTCTTCTACTTTCAATAATAATTATAAATTGAAATTTCTAATATTACTTTGAAAGCCTAGTAGGTAATAGATTTTAAATAATGATTGTTTTTCTTTAAATGAATAATCTGGTGACTGGTACATGTATAAGATTATATTTGACATAACTATAAAAGTACCTATATAACATATCATAATAATAGGTACCTACCTGGGTATAGGTATCCAGTAGCGGATATAAATTTTTTTATGGTGTATGCTTTATTGATAGTTGGTACTAAATACTAATGCTCAAATGCTCAAAAGGTAGTTATCAAGAACAACTTAGAGGTAAAAACAAATTCAACTTATTTTTTGGTACGAATTTGGGTAGTACATATTAGTACGTTTAGTTCTACTTGATGAGTGATGACTGATATTGTATAGTAATCTAAAGTAAAAAAAAGTTCGATATATGGAACAGTGGGTGTTCCAGCTACCAAGTACCCTACTCCAAAAATCCATCAGTTTAGGACCCTATAATATAAGCTAGGTACGTGCGACGTGCCTACACTGCCTACGTCTATAATATTCTAAAAATAGTAAAACCCCAATATCTATAGTAAAATAGGTATTAAAAAAAACAAACACTTAAAATTCAATTTAGGTATACACATACACAATACACTTATATAATAATATATAAATATTTTGTATGCTACACATAGGTATAACATTCCTTACTCCTTAGGAACACAATTGATGTTAACCAAATAGAATGATCTATAACTTTTTTAACGCGTACCGATATCACTTATGTGTATTATGGTCTATGGATCGATCATAATTTACCTATCACTTATGACTAAAAACAAAAGAAACTATTCAAAATTTCAATACACTTTCGACATTATCCAATAATGTTTAAAAATAACAATTTAGGCACATAGCATATTTGACAATATATTTATAGTACCTATTTACACAAGACATAAAATATTGTTAAATCTCCGCTACACTATTCAGTGGCGTACACAAGGGGGGGGGTGCTCAAACCCCCCCTTTAGTATTTTTTTAGTTTACGTAATTACGTAAAAATGTATAATAAAAATGATGACAATTAAAAAAAAAAATTAATAGTACTAATAAAAATAAATACAAAATTAAATTAAGGGAATTTCAGTGTTACCGTCACAATCGAGTTTCGATTAAAAAATATACGGCGAGAAGACCGTCGTCACCGAAGTTATTATTTAATAATAATTATTATTAGATATGGGATATTCCAAATTATACTCCATTATATTATAACATTATATTTTAAACTGAAAAATAATTCTTTACACATTACACAGGACAGATTAAATGGATTGACCATGTTGTCGGCATACCGTGATATAAATTTAACTCCTGAAGAAGTCGATGAGTTGGGACAAAAACCCAGGAAAATAGACATTGTTTTATAATGAAAATAAATATTAGTTAAACAACATATTATTTTGATTTATCAATGTATAATATATATATATATGTATGTATATAATTTTTTATATGTAAGTCCCCCCCATTGAAAATAGCTGTGTACGCCACTGAAACTATTATAGCAGAAATATTAATTTCCCGTGCTACCAACACACAGTCTTCTGCGTACCAGAGCTTGAGAATCACTGCCTTAGATAGCTAAATCATAATATTATCTCTACATGTGATCTTAGCGTATAAAGGAGGGTTCACAAGTCACCGTGTCTTGTACATTGAATACATAGGTAACAAAATGGTGGTCACACGTTGCCTATAAAAGTTGAATACATTCAACTTTACGCGACACGGTAAATTGTAAACCCCCTTAAGAAGTTAAGACTCCCACCACCATCATGTATAACCGACTGGTACTTATTATGAAATGTAAACATAAACATTTGGATGCAATTAAAAGTTTCAAAATTGTCATACTATTATTACTTACTAGGTTTATTAAAATCATCCAATAATAAAAATAATGGTAAATTGGTAAATATTAAACTAAATTATCTAATAGGAATTCATATTGATAAATAATTGCCTATTAGTTGTTACTCCCTGCCATGTAAATTAATACAGATTACCTATACGCTAGTATGTAAAAAACGTATATCTATTTACTTTCGATATTTTTAAATTTCCGTGTAAAAGTAAAATATATGTGCATTATGATGAACTTTCGTCCTTCATGAACCTTCAACATTGTTTAACCTTGTATAACATTTCCAATCCAATCGTTTTCAATCCTTAATTATTAATAAAGAACATTTTATGAATTTGTTTATAACTATGTTCCTGATTCCTACTAAATAATGTATGAAGCTTCTTGATTTCGATGAATTTTATTAAACTTTAAAGCAACTGTAAGTATATGACTTACATACGGAACCTTGTATTATGTTTTCAAGATTACTTTTTATCGATGAACAAAAATTCTATAAACATAAACCAAAAAAAAACAAGTACATACCTTAAAATTCTAATTCTAATACTTCAAAAAATAAAATAATATTAAAATAAAAATATACATTTTTAAAATTATATTATTTCTAGAAAATACTATTATGAATATTCAAGTTTCTACGCTTATTATTCCTTTTTAAAATTAAACTAAAAGCAAAATTTATCAAAAAAATCATGTTCAAAATTGAACATATTGTCAGTTAGGAGTATCCCTCCAAAAATAATTTACCAAAAGGGTTTTGTGTACAAAAAAAATGCACTATAAGGTTTTAGTTTTGTAATGCAGCAGACTGTAAATAATGTGTATTTTTCCAGCCTCAAGGAAAAACATCGAACCATGGATATATTTTTGCTGGTCTCTGTTTAATACAATACAATTCGAAATGTTATGTATTTATAGCCTAAGAACATTTTTTTTTGTTTACACCAAAATGTTTTATGTTGCAAATGAATGGCCAATATGACGTAGACAAGTTGCTGTTACTGCAATCGTAATCTTAACTGTATTGCCTATAGGTATATCTTATAATATGCGGTACTGCCTTGCTATTTGCGAATCGTTGTGCACTTCTCAACGTGTGACCATTGCATGTGTTATTTTTACTTACAAACAACAAACACTCATTCAGACACTTCGTTACTTGCTGTAATAATTTATAAAGCATTAATGCCTATTGTAGAGCTCTCGAAGTTCTAAATATTTTTTTCTCTTCCTACATATAGTTACAAGAAATCAATCAGAAA